GCTACAAACTTGAACAACAAAATGATGGATGTTGCTTATGAGCAATTCAACATAAAGCATCACAACTCTACTACTTATAGACCAAAGATGAACGGAGCAGTAGAAGCATCAAATAAAAACATCAAGAAGATAGTGGGAAAAACAACTGAGACCTACAAGGATTGGCACGAGAAATTACCTTTTAATTTGTTTGCTTACCGAAGCTTGGTGTGAACTTCGACTGGGGAAACCCCATTTTCATTAGCATATGGGATAAAAGCAGTGTTGCCCATTGAGATAGAAATTTCTTCACTCTGGGTCTTATCAGAAGTTAAAGTAGATGATGCAGAATGGATACAATCCCGATATGATTAGCTGAACATAATAAAGGAAAGAAGATTGAAATCTATTCACCATGGTCAAATATATAAGAAACGAATGATTCGGACACATAACAAGAAGATGTGCCCGAGAGTATTCCGTGCAGAAGATCTTGTGCTTAAGAGAATTTGGTCAATTCAAAAAGACTTTAGAGGAAAATGGATGCCAAATTGGGAGGGATCTTATGTCGTGAAAAAGGTCTTCTCCGGAGGAGCACTTGTCTTGGCTGAAATGGACGGGCCAGAACTACCAAATCCCGTTAACTCGGATGCAGTAAAAAACTATTTCGCTTAGGATGAAAACTCGAGAGGACGTCCTAAGTCAAAAAAAAGAAAAGAAAAAGAAAAAACGTTTAGGGTGAAAACTCGAAAGGGCGCCCTAAATTGAAAAAAAAGAAAGAAATAAAAAGAAAATAAAAAAAGAGAAAAAAGAAAAAGAAAAGAAAAGAAGGTGGGTCCAAGATAAAAACCCTCAAAGGGTGTCTTGAAACCAAGGATGAGTCCAAATTGAAAACCCGAAAGGGCGATTTGGATATTCATTCAAGACAGTGAAGCATCCCTGTATCCGAATCTTCTACAGACTTAACGAGTCGGAGAAATGTTACACTTTCCTGAACATTATCGCATCTTCGAAGATACCTTGACAAAGGCTGTGTTCAGGGTCATATAACGGGTTATCAAGTCAGATGCGCCTGTATTATTGAGGTCTAAGACATCCATTCATACTCCATTTATGTATTCACTTTCCAGAATATTTGTCATGTATTGTTTGTTCTTTTTCCTTATGAATAAAGACGATCTTTTTTCTAGACCAATTCCTTTTAAGCATCTTGGGTTGAGTTTAAACCTAATGATTTATTCATTTCTGAAAAAGATAATTGTGTATTACTGTACAAATATTTTTGAAAAGTACAGCTACTCGGAAGCCAATCAAGCCTTATGCACTATACTTGAGATGGTTGAAAAGCGTTTCCCAAATCAAGATTACAAATAAAATCCTGCACATCAGATTAAACGTTTGAACAATTGAATATCAAGAATCAGAAGATCAAGATTCCAGAGTCAAAAAACAGTCGAGAGTCATCAAGACTGACAACCAGAGATTGAGATTTCTCTCTAGAACCCAAAATAACATATGTTGCATATGCATTTTAGGCACACCTAAGATCATTACATCCATAGCATCGCATATATGCATAATTTTATAGATTCTTCCTAGAGTTAATTTCAACTTCACAGTGAAGGATATTGAACTTGAAGTAATATATTTACAAAATGGGATTTCAACTTCACAACGAAGGATATCCAGTTCAAAGCTCAACTTCACAACGAATGAGCCATCCACGATTTTAATTTCACGACGAAGGATATCGTGCCCAACGGATCGACTTAATCTCACAACAAATAAGTCATCTGCAACAACAGGAGTTTATTCCCCAGCCAAGTACAACATAACTCAAAGGCCAAAGGCGAGAAGAGTTATATGTCAACAAAAATCATCGAGTACAATACCATTCAACTCGAGGACGTATTCACTGCAAGGTAGCAGCAAGGAATTACTTTCCGGTCAAAATTTTCACACCAATGCCTTTAAGTAAATAAGAAGACCGAGGTCAAGAATGACAACAAGAAGCCACTTTTCGATTTTCCTACGATTTCAACTTCACAATGAAGGATATCGTACCCAAAAGATTGACCCAACTTCACGACAAAGGAGTAATTGGTAACACAACAACATCGAAGTCTTCAGGTCAAGTTTCAGCTTCACGATGAAGTGTCTTGGGCCAGAAGACGATCCAGGAGCTACTTTCCAATGCTTGAAGCTCGGTTTCAACTTCCCGACGAAGGATATCGTGCTCGGTTCACCTCAACCTCATGACGAAGGAGTCATTTCATGATCTAGTCCAAATTAATTACAACAGATCAATCATGACATCAGATTTTAACTCTATGATGGAGGATATTCGGTAAGATTGGGGTCGATTCCCATAAAAGAGGACGTTAAACGATACGTTCATAACGGGCGAAATTTGTGTCTTTTAATCTTTGCCCTATTTTTGTTACATGATAATGGGCAAAGAGGGGCAGTTGTAGACACCTAATTTCGTTCAGCTCGATTTGATTAATATTATTATGATCATACTACTATGATTTATGTCATTATAATTATACTATATAATATGGAACATATTACATATTTTTATTTCTTGTACCAAGTCCAATGTTACAAATAAATCCAAACCCCAAGGCCCAAATACAAGCAAGCCCGGTTACAAAGAAGACCCAGTAACCCATGACTCGGCTAAGAGACCCGACCCGAGACTCGAATTTTGGGAGCAACCCGAACCGGTCCATCACGTGTGTAACCCTAGGAGAGTTATGGTTTCTCACTTTTTTCCCCAACCGCTAGTAGCAGCAACTGTTGGATTTAGATAAGATCCAACGGTCTACAGAAGACCTCATCTAGGGTTTTTTGAACCCTAGCCCACTCCAGCGTTGCTCCAATCGGTCAACACGAAGAACCCTCGTCCCAGCCGCAACCAATGGTCAATTTTCTCGGCACCAACATCACCAACAAACATTCAACAACAAGATAGCATTTTAGTTTAATTAGAACTCTAAACCCACCCAAAAATAGGGGTACATTAGGCTATAAATTGATGTAAAATCGAAAAGAAAAGCGAGAAAAAATATAAGCAAGTATACAAGAAATACGAGCAGTCACAAGAGAAAAAAATTGAATCTTTATAAACATTTCGAAGGGAAATAAAAGGTAAAAAAATCTCACCTTGTTCAGTTTTTTTCATCTGCATATGGTTTGGGTATTTGCTTTCTCTCGTTTTGCCCGAAAAGTACAAAAAAGAAGCTGATGAAAATGGGGAAGGCTTTCGAAGGGTCTCTTCTAGATCCAGCCTTCCTCGAGGCTCGTTTTCGAAAAGGATTTGTATTTTTGAAAAGATGATTTGAAAAGTTCTCGAAAAAAAATTTCGCCGTCGATGAACGTCGGCCGGCGAGGCGACGATTGGCCAATTTATGGGTTTCACGGCGATGTTCTTCATTTGATGAAGAACACCAAGAACACTTAGAAAAAATTTGGGGTCTTCGGTTTGATCTTTTGAGATGGGGAAATTATGAAAATTTATTTAAGGTTTGGGTTATATAGTAACCCGCTGGGTGACCCGCATGTGACCAATCTAGACCCCTAGACCCGCGTGTTTTCAATGAAAAGGGATAATTCCCATTTCGGTCCCTCGTTGTTTTTAAAAGCTTATTTTGCCCCTTAAAATTCAGTTTCACCCCGAATTACTTTGAAATTTGCCACCCAATTTTGTTTTTATTTAAATTTAATCCTTTGTTATTATTATATATATATTTAATTATATTATTTATTTATTTTTTTTATATATATTTTCTTTTCTGGTTTCTATTATTATTATTATTATTATTTAGTGTTTTATTTATGTATATATATATATATTATTTTTTATTTATTTGTTATTTATTTTATTAATATTCTAATATATATATATATTATCATTATTATTTGTTTTCTTTTTTATATATAAATAATATTATATATTTTTTATTCTATTTTTTTTGTTTTTTTTTTGTTTTTTCTCTGTTCTTTTATCTTATTCCATTATATTTTTCCTTATTTTTATTCTTATCCTCTTTTGTTTCAATCATTTTTTTTATTTTTTATGGTGTTTTATTTTCTGTTTTTTAGCTTATTTATTTATTTACTTTTTATTCTTCCTTATTTATATTTTATTTTTACTTTACTTTATTCTTTTTTATTTTTAGGGTTTTTTATTTCTTTGTTTTAGTAAGTGTTTATATTTAATCTTACAATTAGCATCATTATTTTTATTTTTTTTAAACTTTGTTCCTTACATTAATTTTCATTTGTTATGTGTTTTAATAAGAGTGCTTTATTTTATTTTTGTTAATCCCTCAGCATGTACATATTTTTTAACGTCATTATTTAACCTTTATTCTTTCTTTTGGATTCAATACATCACTTTATCAATCTAATATTTTTATATTTTTAAGGGTATTCGTCTAAACCGATCAGAGGTAAGTAATTTGGATCAAATTTTACTTTTAATTTAACTTTCAATTTTCTTAATTAAAGACAACTGGAAATTAATCAGTACCGAAAGGGCAGTTCAAGGGTGCTAACCTTTATTTGACTGTAACCGACTCTCGAATCCGACATATCTTTAGTAAGATGCAGATCATGTAAGAAATTAAGGTGTCCGATCAACCCATTTTTATTCTTAAAATAAATGATCGGTGGAGACTCTAACCATTCCATTCAAGTCGAAGTCCAACTCCAGGCCCACCCGAAAGACGATTCCGACAGCTCCAAAGAGAAATATATAGTAAATTTGAAACATCCCGACAAAAGAAATATACCCATTTAATTTTGAAAGGAATGGGATATATTTTTATTTTACAAATTGTAAATTATTGCACACCAACATGAAAATATGAAATAAATTATTAGATCACTTACTACTAGGGACGGACTAATAATTATCAATAAAAAATACAAAAAAAAATTAAATATATAATAATTTAAAATTTTTACGTAGACAACCCTGATTACTGCCTTTTGGTCCATCCGTGTTCGTGATGATTATTTCAAAGCCTCTTAACAATGAGATTTACTCCATATTTAGGTTCAATAATCAAACTCAAAGAAGGGTAATGCCTATAGTTTGGGGAGGGAGAAAAGGTGAAGTTTGACAAAGCAAGGGAAACAAGAAGCTTGAGTTCAGCCAAGGCAAAATGCTGCCCCAAACATGTATGGGGACCGAACCCAAAAGGCAAATAGACATGAGGTGAATTGCAGGCGCCACTAACTCCATTGACAAACCTTTGGGGATTGAATTTGTCTGCATCGGGTCCCCATATTTGAGGGTCTTGGTGTAGGGTAACCGGCATTAACCAAAGGTTCACTCCTTTGGGCACATGGAGCCCTCCAAATTTCATATCCTCTAGGGCTTCCCTTGATATTATAGCTCCCGGAGGGTATAGCCTTAGTGTCTCGTTGATCACCATTGTCAGCTGTCATCCATTCACCAAATAGTTAATTTCATTACACGTGAAGAGATATTATTGTCTCGTAAATAGGGATGAACGGCAAATTTTCTCATGTGGGGCAAAGAGAAAAAAGATTTTCCTATATAAGATAAGGTTCTTCCGGTATTATTTTTTTAAACTAAGATCATTGCTACAGTGTTAAGGGGAAGACATCAAGAATATTATAAGACTTCAACTTTTTCGAAGAAGACACATGGATCACAATACGTCTTCCTCATCGTCGATCAATTTTTTTCTTTGCTATGCATTTCCATGCATATTGTTTGGGAAAGCTGAAGATGCATAGCAATGTATACGTTTTCCACCAAAGAATTGAAGTCACTAGATGTTTAAGTCGTCTTCCCCTTAACACGGTAACAATGACCTTCATTCAGAAAATAATATAGTGGGGCCTTATATGGGGAAATCTTTTTTTCCATTGCCCTACATGAGCAAAATTATCAGGGACGGACATTTCATCAGGACCCGACGAATTTCGATCTGACCTAATTTGACTGGGTCAATTTTTATTTTAAAAATACGGGTCCTATTCGAATCAGTTTAGATTTTTAAGGATTGTGCCAAGTTAGATTGAGTTCGGATTTAGGATGAAAAAATATGATCCTATTCGACCCGACATAATGTTATAATTATCTCTTATATATTTAGAGATAATTGTAATAATATCCCTTTCTATTTTAATATTTTTCAATTAGATACTTATTTTACATAATGAAAATGAATATATATATATATATATATATATATATATATATATGTTCAACACCCGTACTATATATATATATATATCAGATATAGGACGGATGTTGACCTAAACATCGAGTCGGTTTTGGATCAAATAAAACTCTCTTAAACCTTGGGTCAGATGGTATGCAAGTAAAATGGTTTAATTTTTTAGTCAAATTAAGTTTACATAAACTTATTCATATCATAAGTACATGATCCTGACCTGATAAACTATGTTTTCCGGTTTAGATGTGAATGTCAAATGTTTGTATTACAATTTTTTTAACTTTTGAGTTAATTGCACCAAATATCCTTAAACTATTATTTTTATTTTAAATAATTCTTAAACTTTTGGATATTTCAATTTCATCCCCCAAACTATGACTTATTTTAAATTAGTCCCTAAGCTTTTGAACAGTCCAATTTCATCCCCAAACTATGTCCATCATTCTAAATTGGTCTCCAAAATTTTAAATCTTCTAATTCCATCCTCAAATTCATCCAAATATATAGTTAGTTTCAACCATAGTTTAACCTAATTTTTTTCCCTAACATATACTTATTTAATTTGGCCTAACAGTTTTATTAACAAGGGATGTGATTAGTATATATGTATAGTTTGGGATGAAATTGGAATGGTCAAAAAGTTTTGGGACCAATTTAGAATAAAGGTCATAGTTTGGGGATGAAACTGAAATGTTCAAAAGTTTGAGGACTATTTTAGAATACTAGTCAAAGTTTAAGGATGAATTTGAAATATTTAAAAATTTATAGACCGATTTAAAATAAGGATCATAATTTGAGGGTGTGTCAACTCTGAACTTTTTGATGTATTTTAAAAGATGTATCCTCGTATTCATGTCTGGATAGTTATTGGTTGTACTTACTATCTTCATGCGACGAATCATATCAGCATCCGGTACTTTGCCCCCACAAATCTGAAGAACCTCGGCACGAACCTTTTCTTGCCAATCAGGGTTCAACGCTAGAAGCAACAAGGTCCAAGCAGCTGTAATGGCAGTTGTTTCATAGCCAGCAAAATATATGTTCTTGCAGTTGTCAACGATGAAGTTATCAGTCGCATCGGGGCCTAAATCACTGCTCTTCGCACCTTTTAGAATCATTTGCAATAGATCTCCCTTCGATGTTTCTTCCTTGGTTTCATTTACGGCTTTCAAGATTAATGCTCGAACTTCTTTCTCCAACCTCCATATTTCCCTATTGCTCTCCGTCGGAAGATACCTGAAAGATAACAAATTCATCGGTTTCGTATTCAACGACGAAATGGAAAGTTAAATCGAAACGGAACCAAGCGAACCTCAATCCAGGGAAGCCATTGGATAAAACCTTTTTGGACATGGCTTCTTGTAGAGCTCTAATTTTGAAGAAGATCTCTTCTCCTTTGGCATAATTGCTTCCGAAACAAGCCCTCGAGATAACTTCCCTTGTGAACCTTCGTAAACAATCGTCGACCTTTATGTCCGCTGCTCCGCCCTCGCTGCCGACTTTGCTCTTCCACCAGTTCACGACCATCACTGAACAGTCCGCCATCAAGTGTGTCATACCCTACAATATATGGAAGAACATAATGTTAAGACATGTCAGAACCATTCACCGAAAGCATGTCCGAGACCACGAATATCTGTGCTTCGGCATACCAAACCGAAGTTGCAGATATATTTTCATATAATGTACAGTTGAAGGTTAAATGAACATACCTTAACCTTATCCATGTATAATTCAGGGGCAATGATTTTCCTTTGATGTGCCCATAACTCACCATTTGAAGTTAGAATGCCTTTGCCAAGAAGAGGACCTCGTTCCTTTTGTTGATAGGTAGGATTTCCCAGGTCCATTGATGTGCATGTAATTATTTCCTTGACCAAATCAGCATCTATTATGTGTAAAATCTGTATGTTTCCAAGCGAAAACAAAAATGTGGGACCTGCAAAAGGAAAATTTATTACGGTATCTAATGACGGATCTAAAAAAATTTTAAGCGTAGAAACACATATATTAATAACACAAATTTTAAGAAGGTGAATGCAAATAAAATTTCATGATTAACATTATTAATAAAATAAATAACTAATAAAAAAGTTCAAATTATTATATCATGATAGTCTACTATCTTAAAATTGAATTTGTCTATTAATATAATCTTAAAAATATTATATAAAGCTTCACCAAAGCAATTACCTAATCAATATGGGTATATTGTACAAAGTAGGCTATAGGGGAGCACGTTTATATTGCTCATGGGCCCATTTTTTATCTTTATAAGTGAGTCTTTTTTTTTTCAATTCTATAAAATTCTCAATTTTCTACTCATTTCTTGATCTCTCTTATTAATTTATTTAATTTCAAATCAAATCTAACCATATTTTCTTTCTTTTCTAAATCTCATTATTCGATTTATTAAATATTCTTTAATTTTCAATCTTCTTCGATCTCAATCTAACACTAAAATAATACAATATTCTCCATTTTTTATTTTTTATTAAAAATCAAACTCCATATCGTACACATATTTAATTATTTATTTATTTTCTCTTAATCGTATTTAATTTGTTTTCTTAAAAAACAATAAAAATAATATGTTTGACAAAAATAATTTTTTTTATAATTTATTAATATAATATTAAATTAATTATTCAAAGTAATAGATTATACTATCCTTTCCATAGGGGCCTATTTTTGAATTCCAATACAGCTATGATATTACATTTACATTACTCGCATGATATATATTAGATTCAAATATTTCAAGTGTAAAAGCATAGATTGAAAAAAAAAAAAAACAAAAAGGTTTTGGTTAAAGTAAAGGCATAATGCTAAAAATAGCCCCTCGCGTTTATTAAAATGGTCATTTTGACCCTTATTTCTTTAAATGAAAATCATTAGTTAAAACACAATTAAAGCTCCAAAATTTGAGTCTTTTTTTAACTTAAAAGGAACGTCGAGGGCTAAAATGCCCTAGAAGGATAAAGGATAAAGTGATTATTCTGTCAAATATTAGGGGGGTTTTTTGCCCTAAAATGAAATGTTGGGGTCAAAATGCTAAAAGATTAGAATAGAAAGAAAAATAATTATTTTGATAAACGTGGGGGCTAATTTTGACATTATGCCTAAAGTAAAAAATGAAGTGAAATTACCATATTGTTCTCTCCATTGTTGGAAGAAAGGGAACACCGTGGACGAACTGTTGTGGGTTATCTGTTGCTGTTCACCTTGTTGGGCGGCCTTAGACTGTGTCCTCTTTATGTCAAGTGTATTTCCAAGCAGAAACGTAGGAGGGGGACCCTTGATTCCTTGCTTTCGGAGCTTGGCACGAAGCCTTTTTGGCTTCAAAATCATTGAATCAAACACCTGAATCAGCAATGCAATGAACCCTATCAACAAGCTTGTTCCACTCATCTTCAGCACCAGCAATGCAACTTCCATGGCTTCTATCTCTTTCTATCCCTTTACTTTGTCTGCAAATGTAACTCACAATCTTTGATGCTTAACATATATGTGTATATATATACACACGCATATACATAAAACAAAAATAGGTATATCGAGAATTGATAAAAGACGTTAAAGAGAGGTTAAGGTGGAGGATGTTGCAGCATCCTATATACATATGCTCGTTTTTGGCATGTTGCAAACAAATATATCAATTTACTATTCATTTTTTCCTATTATACTTGTACTATTCCTTACTGGATTCGAACAAAATGAATTTTAATTTAAGCCATTCCGATCTAATTTTGAGTTTAATAATGAAATTAATTTCTTTTACTTAAATTAATTATAAAAATATATAGGATTTAGGATGAGTTAATTGCATCACATGTCCTCAGAGTATGACCCTCATTTTAAATTGATCCCTAACGTTAGGATACGTTAGGATATTTCCTAACGTCAAAATTAATTATACAAGGGAGTGTTGTTCTACCTAAAGGTTTTGGATTCAAACAGTTGTGTCTATAAGATGTATGTGTTAACAATGATTAAGAAATAATCAAAACATATACTATCTTGTAATCAATAATATAAGTTAAGAATTGATTAATTTCGAATCGGATGTTTGGAAATCAATAATATAGGTTAAGAATGCTTCACACTCTTTCCCAACAAATTTGTAGGCTTTCATTGCAAAAGTTACAGCTAACATGCAATTGATTTTTGTTTTTGTTTTTTTTTTTTGTCTTTTTAATCTCTAAGACTTTGTCTTAACTTATTCAGACCGATCCGGATTATACATTTAGTTGTGGTTGATGAGTCCCAATGAGAATTTTCTGCTACTTCCATATAGCTAATTCATTCCCATAATCAACACAGATTCATGGAACCGTAATTCCATTGGGTCAATATGGAATTCAATTATTCAACCCCTTGGACTTTCAATGGGCATCTCTTTGCTAATTTGGGTTCACTATCACATTGTCTCCTGATGGATTAGTGGCTAAGTCTTCAATTTCAATTGATGCTACTACTAGGGATGAGCACGGGACATGGGTCCAACCGGTTCAGACCCAACCCGATCGGGTTTTATTTTTTAAAAAAATTCGGGCTTGGATCGGACTGGGTCAAATTTTTTAGAGGTTGTGTTCGGGTCGGGCCAAGTTTGTATTTAGAGTGAAAAATATTCAATCCGAGAAAAACATATAATTTTATATTTATATTTAAGAATAATTACAATAATGTCTCTGTATATATTATTTTTTCAATTAAATCTCTATTTTTATTGAATAAAAATAATATTTTTATTAAATATATTATTTCGGTCCAGGTTTGGAGTTTATCTCAAAAAGTCGGATCGAGTTTGGGTGGAGGATATATAATTTTTAGGTTGGGTCGGGTTGATCGAAAATCTGACCCGACCCATGTCCATCCCTAGCTACTACTAATTGGCTTTCTCGGACTAATTGGGTATATAGGATAAATTACATGTTTTGTACCTAAACTATTATTTTTGTTTTGTTTTTGATACTTAAACTTTATTTTTTTTTCAAAACATATCTAATGTTTAGTTTAAGTTTCATTTTGGTACCCGTCGTTAAAAACTTAATGGAACTATTGTACGTGTTATTCTTTTATGGGTAAATTACATCATTTATCACTCAATTATCATATCACTCCTATTTTGCTCACTAAAGTTTAAAATGTTTCAATTTAACTACCCAACTTTCAAACTCCTATTTTAATCACTATAATTTGTTTTATTAATAATTTTTGTGACATTATTTTTTTAATATACAATTAAAATAAAAAAAATTTAAAGGTTAGAGTGATTAAATTAGGAGTAATTTGAAAGTTAAGTAATTAAATTAAATAAATTTAAACTTCAATGACCAAAAAGGAGTGAGAAGATAGTTGAGTGATGAATGATGTAATTTAACCATAAAAAAGTACCACACACAATAGTTCTGTTAAGTTTTTAATGATGAGGTACCAAAACAAAATAAAAAGTAAATGTTAGGTATGATTTTGAAAAAAAATTTAGATGCTAAAATGAAACAAAAATAATAATTTAGATACTAAATGTATAATTTAGCCACATATATATATGTGGGTTAGGATCCACTTGCACAATGTAAAACGCATTTAGTTTTACACAAATTTAAGACGTTGGATGAGCGAAAATAGATGATTGAGATTAACTCATTATTTTTTTCCAGTGAATATCTTCTCATTTCTTATTGTTAATCTCATCCATCTATATTTATTCATCTAATGATCCTAAATCTGTATAAAACAAATACAGATTTAATTTAATTATTTAAATTTTGATTGGTAGGATTGGTCTTTTATTATCAGTTATTATGGTTAGTTTTTTTAAGTCTATCTTTTGTGTTAATATTATTATTATTATTTAATAGTTATCTGATTAGCAATTTAGCATAGGACCTTTTGTAAGTGTTCTAGTATAACTATTCTACTAGGGAGTAAATATGACTGTGAGTGAGGGTTTTATTACAAATACAATACTAGAGGGCTATTAGGGGGAGTTTTTATAATCATCAAGACAGTTTTAATAAAGCTGGTTGCTCCCAAAACCCTTTTCTTATCCCTAATTCAATTATGTTTTTTTTTAAATAAATTCATAGCTGTTCTGATTTTCCTCTCCGCCACATGGTGGTTTCTGGAAAATAAACTGTTGCTTGATAATACAAATGCTGAGGTTTGAGTGAAGAGTATGTGTTAAATGTGAATAGGTTTTTCCATTTATATTTGCTTTTAGCGGAGGCACACTTTTGGAAGTAGTGAGTGAAGATATCGAGATTTCTGGCACTGCATTATGTCAATAGGGCAAGAGCTACTTGTATTTGTAAAAAAATGGATTGCTAGGGTGGGTTTTCCTCAGTATCAAATATTTAGTTTTCACCAGACGTTAGCAGCTTAAGATATCGCCGATCTGTTGCTTTGAGAAGAGAGCGATCCTTTAAGCAGAATATTATAATAGTTGCTTAGAAATCCCTAAAAATATAGTGCAGCCTTTTTGTGTTCAAAATCCTAATTTAATAGGATATAAACATGTTGAAATGTTGAAGCAACAAGAAGAACAATCTAATATGAGAACAAAATAAATTCATAAAAAGTGAAATACATAGCAAGACATAATATGAAAAGAAATAAAAACAAGAACAGTAGGATTTACATTGTTTTGGTTTAAGCCTGTATCCATCGGGAAAGACAAATTTCTACTATAATGGAAGCAAGATTGAGTCTACAGCAATTTTGTACTTAAAACTCACTCAAATGCACTACAAACTCAAAATCCAAGAGCAAAAACACTTACAATTTTTAAAAATGATTTAATTGCTTCGATTAGGTTGGTGCATCCATTTGTTTTTGCAGCTAAACCATCATTAGGTTCAAAGCACTTTTGAAAAATAATTGATAGCACGTACTTGAAAATAATTAAGGGGTAGACTTAGGGGCTATGTAGCTGCCGCTATTTTGTTTGAAGTAGATGTGTATGCCACATTTGAATATACGTAGGGGGGATATGACCGTCTGCGAACCCTGAAAAAGAGCATACTCATATCAGACATTTATTTGTATCCTACACTCATACCGAAGTCCGAGTAACATGACCTAGGGGAATGCTTCTACGAAGTTCTTTTCTCTTCTCATCAATGGTCTAACTTGTTTGGAGTACCTATCTATAACACATATTAGGACATAGACAAAGGAATATGACCCACCGAGAACCCTCCAATTACATGGAAAGAACTTACAAAAAGTTGAGTATACTCAAGTCTGACACATATCTGATCCAACACTCACATGGTTTGTGTTCAGATATGTGTTCGATACAAATGTTAAACACGTGTACTTTGAGAAAAATGAAGAACCAGTGTAACATAGAAAATAAATGTAGGGTCGATTTAGAACTTAGGAGACTGCTCCTGTTTCAGCTACCTATCAACATTTTTTAAGTGCTAAGTATGTTATTCTTGCATTGTGAACAGAGTGTGGCATATGATAGATCCAGTGCACCCAAGGACTGTCGTGTCTCTGGCTGGATGCAAGGTCGTGATCTTGATTTACCAGTTGACACCAATAAGATGTTTCTTTTGGTAGAATTCATGTACGACCTTGAGAAGAGTGCCGCTCAGACCTTTGATGTATTGGATGCGGCTGGTGTTGGCATTGTTGACACAGTTAGGCTAGATTTCTCTTCCAACCATGGAAGCACTTCACATACCTGCATTTACCGGTTGAGGGTGCACGGTCATGAGCCTGATTCCGTTTCAATGGTAAAACTGCAGCCTTGAGGTACATCATGCTTTTTGTATCTGCATTACTCATGTAATTGTTATTGTCCTCTGTATTTAATTAAATAGTATTTAAGTTATTTAACTCGATACAAATTCCTTCTACTAAGGTTTTATTCTGTGTAGCAATTGAGTGTGAACCTAGTTCCAAGTTAAATGACTTAAATACTATTTAATTCAAATTCCTTGAGGTACATCACGGTTTTTTTTTTCAAGTTTAATGTTGATGGAGCTGTGGAGAAGTCTTGGTGTAAAGGGGGAATAGGTGATATTTTGAGGGATGAAGACGGGGCTGTGTTGGGATCTTTTTCTGAGAGTGTTGGGGAGGCCCTCCAATTCTGGCGGCTATTAAAGCAGGGTTATTATTCTTCAAGTCTAGTTGGAGTTCGAGGGGCAGATTAATGGTGGAGAGTGATAGTAATAAAGCTGTGGATTGGATCAAGTGGTCGAGTTCTTCTCCTATGATTTTCAGTTCGCTAGTCAAGGAAATTAGTGCATTGGTAAAAGATAGGAGTGTTGTTGTTAAACATGTTAGTAGAATTGTGAATTGTAAAGCGGATGAATTAACTAAGATAGGAATTGGGTGATTTTTTGGTTTTAGGTTTCTATAGATTATTTTGTTATGATGGTTTTGTTTATTATATACTAGTTATAATGTAATGGTTTGTTTGACAATAATAAAATTATGAGACACTCTTTTCCTCCCGTCGAGTTACCCTAGGGTTCTTTAACGGTTATAAAGAGGGTTTTAACAAGGCCTCCCTTTCTTATAAAAAAAGTGTTAATCTAGTATTTTTCCAGCTAGGCTTAACTTAAATTAAGAACAATGATTGAATATGAACTAGGAAAAAAAATGAACTTCGTTTGATAGACTACAACTAGTCGTTTTGGTAATTCAAGACTAATGATTCTTGCTTAGATGAGTACATTCATTGCATGGGCATTAATGAATCTATTCATTTGGGAATTCAAGACTTTTTTTTTTTTTGAATAATCTGAGGTAATTACAAGGTAATATTTGTTTAGAATTTTCTTAATCTACTGACAACGCATACACACCTTGCAGAAGCAACTACTCGAACCCATAACCCAAGAAAAACAACCTTTTATTTTACCATTCAGATAACATGGTTCTCAAAACTATTTTTTTTTAATTAAGTTGGATAATTGATAGTTCAAAATGGTCAAATCTAAGGTTTCTTTAAAGTTGTATCATGAATGAAATTTAATGCAGTGCATATGAAAATTCTTTTACATCTCATTAATATAATGTTTAATTAACAGTCTCAAAGGACCATTTTATTGACTTGCATCTTCATCTTTAGATTTATAAAATATCACAAACAATCATTTTACAGTCGTATTTGACCTTGTATTTCATAAGTATTCACAAGTAAACCCATAAATATCTCAATCGCATAAGTGAAAGGATGTGGTCAAAAAGTCAGATAATTTCAATTATTACTTGAGATATTGAACGAATCGTTTTAACTTTATACTGTTTTCATGTTTGATATAAAAATAGTCATTTAGTTGACAGTTTGTACTGTACTTAAAATATATAATATTATAATAATATAGTGCATATGAAAATTCTTTTACATCTCATTAATATAATGTTTAATTAACAGTCTCAAAGGACCATTTTATTGACTTGCATCTTCATCTTTAGATTTATAAAATATCACAAACAATCATTTTACAGTATCTCAATCGCATAAGTGAAAGGATGTGGTCAAAAAGTCAGATAATTTCAATTATTACTTGAGATATTGAACGAATCGTTTTAACTTTATACTGTTTTCATGTTTGATATAAAAATAGTCATTTAGTTGACATCTTTTGTAATTGTGTACTTAAATATATATAACTAATTATCAAATATATATATATATATATATATATATATATATATAATTATTTATAATTTTAAAAATAAAAAATAAACAAAAAAATGTATTTAAGAGAATTAACTATAGTTTATGCATGAAAGATATTTTTATTAGTATGAGGTGATTATAAGGTAATATATATACATAATTTTTCATAATCATTAATGATAACCAAGACCTCAAAAAACAATAATATTTTTTAATCAGATCTCATAAAATTTTATTTTGCAATTCAATTGGTTTAGTGAAAATCTAGTCCCAATGTCAACTAATTTCACTTAACTAAGATTTTAAATAATTTTTTACTATCACTTTACTTAATAAATTTATATACCTTTTCTAAACTTAGAATAAAAAGTTTAAGATCGGATTTTAAAAAATACATTAATATATTACAATTATTATAATGTTCTTTGTATTATAAAATTTACTACTTTTAGTAATACTTGTGCTGGTGTTCTGTGAAGGAGAGGGAATTTAAGGAGGTGGACGAGGCTTCTGGGGGATGATTTGAGAATAACACCGTTCTGTTTTCTCTCTCTCTTTTTGCTGGGATGAAAAAGGCAGGATAACATAATGGAAATCTACCTGATATTACTTCTCTGCAATAGATATTCACTTCCCCCTTGCTCTTTCCCCTGTTCAATTGTAGAAAGCAAAACCCGTAAAAAGTGTTTTGTGTCTTCTTCTGATGCTAGTTCCAAGTTTGTCTGAAAGAGTGGAAGGGGAGTTGATGGATTATTCCACCGCATCCTCGTCCCACCACCACTACCCTTCCTTGACATCTGCTGATTTTGTCTCAACAAGGCATCTGAACTGCTTCCAACAATATGCACCACCCCATCATCAGCATCAGCGTGGATTACACTATGCAGGCTAATTTCTGTTTCTATCACCCACTCTTGATTTACTGCAACCCCTCGGAATTCAGGTTTCCCCAAGTCCACCAGATTAGGGCACTTAACAACCAACACAAGTCTCTCTGTCATGATGACATATTTACCAGGTTTCTTGAGTGCTTTGGACACAACATAGATCTCGTCCTTGAGCTTGCCATCATCAGCTTCCTTAAGCACCGATATTCCAACAGCTTCTTCCCAAAAGTACGGCCTCAAAGGAAGTTCCCTGCTTAGAGGCCTTGGAAAACGAACTCTACAATGTTGCGAACCCATATGATATAATCTGCTTCTGTTTCTAATACTCTGTGCAGTTTTTCCAGTAACCTCAAGTATACTAGCAGCCGGTCTTCCCACTAGTCCTGTTACTCCCAAAGCTATCCCTGTACAGAAGATGGAAAATAAGATATTTCAGATGCCCATGCATGTCTTGCTGATAACGGAAGCACTATGGTTCGTAAAGACATGCAGTCAACTCACTGCCAGTGGGGTACCTGAGAAGATGCCAGGAAGGCCGTGTTTCTCTGCTTCTTTAATTGGTGATTGGAGGAGGCCGGTAAGTCCCTGAAATCAACAGTAAAATAAGATTCTACCTTGTAAAGTGTTACATGTATGTAGGCAAAATATTAGGATAGATATATTGTAATTAATGTAGGACGTTACCTAACCTATTATAGGATCTTTATACTTGTATATATACCCACAAGGTTTATGAATAAAACACACAAGAAAGTATTCCCTTACAGATACTATACATGGTATCAGATGTCCTAAATCAATTTTAGGGATTTTCGGTAGGAAATCAATTTTAGTCGGTAAAATTTTGGGCAGTTTCGTTGTCAAAAACAGGGGGCTATTGCCTTTTTTCAAAGGGCAGGTTTTAGAGGCTCTCCTCAAAGGCAGTAGAACATGTTCTGCATTACTTGAAAAGGGCTCCCGGAATTCTATATGAGAATCATGGTCATTCTAGGATCAAATGTTCTTCAGGTTCAGATTGAGCAAGATTTAAGGAAGATAGAGATTCACTTCAGGATATTGTGATTCCGTTGGAGGAAACTTGATTTCAAAGAAGAGTAAGAAACAAAATTTGGCCTCAGAGTCAGAATCAAGTCCGGAAGCTGAATACGAAGCTATGGCCAAATTTGTGTTGAGTCGTATAGGTATATGAGCTACTCAATGAAGTTGGAATTAAGGTTGTATTACCAACAAACAAAGCTATGATGTGATAATCAAGTTGCACTTCGCATAGCTTCTATTTCAGTCCTCCATGAATAAACAAAACATTATAAAGTTGATTGTCATTTCATTTGCGAAAACAAGGTTTGATTTCTACTGGCTATGTGAAAACGGGATAACTAGGAGATATTTTCACATAGCCTCTTAGCAGGTTCGAATTGATTATCTATGTAACAAGCTGGGCATGACCACTATCTATGGTCCAACTTGAGGGGGAGTGTTACAGATATGTAGGTAAAATATTAGAATAAATATATCTTAATTGAAGTAGGATATTACCTATTATAGGATCTTTATACTTGTATATATAACCATAAGGAATGAATAAAAAAGAAAGAAAGAAAGAAAGTATTCACTTTCTGATAATCTTGATCCAGACAGGCTCCACATAAAAGACAGCTCTTAACCAGCAACTTTATTTCTTTGCATTGGGTTTGCTGGTTGCGGTGCAAATTTACCACCCGTATAGAAAGAACAAAAACATACGTACAAACATGTGTTTATTATACCTCAAAAACTTCATTTATTATGCCTTTACTGTGTGAAGCTTCCCCCTTCAATTGCTTTTTCATTCTTGCAACAGCCTGATCATCAAATGTAAACGCAACAATACCCTGCAAGCAGAACCTTTTCATTGTCATTCAATGATATTTAACTGAATTATTCTAGTTTCTCATAGATAATAACATTAAGAAATAGAAAAATTAAGTAATAAATTTTAATTATTTAGAATATAGTGCACCTAGAGATACCTTGTGTGCAGCTTTACTGAATTGAGTAGCAGCGTCACTTAGTGCGCAGACCGTATTGCTCAGAAGACTAGTAGTACCTTGAGCCATGCCTGTGATAAGTCCAGTGGGGCTCTAAAAGACATCATATTCAGTCAGCCATTGAGGCAGAGTTAAAAGTTAACAAAGAATGCAGAATTTAATTACCTTCAAAAAACTCTTTGCAGGAACTGCTAAGAAATCTCTAATTCCTACACCTAGAGTCCTGGCAAATCCCATGGGATTACCGATAACTCCAGCAGAGCCAAACACCTGCAGATTAAACAAGTAGGTGCCCGAGAGAGACTGTTTAGTTTCAAGAAGCTGATGAATCATATCTGAGGCAACAGTGTGAGCAGCATTTCAAATGAACTCTATAACAATAGCAATGATTTAATTCAAACATGGCAAGCTGTAGAATGCAGAAGCACTAATTTGTTTCAAATATATTCTAAGCGAACTAGAGAACAAAGCATAACTTTTGAAATCAGGAGAAATGGAGTTCTAAGGAACGGAAGAGAATAAACATCAGACATAAGATGACATATCCCCAAATTAAAAGCCATCAATCATAGTCGCCCGGGCTTACTCGAGTGATAAGTATGGGGATCTGATAGAGATTCTAGATTCAAGTTGCAGTACAAATGGGGAGTTGAAATTTGATCTGAGGCCTGCAGGTAAGCCCATTGATGGAGGACATTTACCATGTGGCTTTGTTTATTTAGTAATTCTATTGGACCTTCCTTAATTTTTGGGTGGTTTTATTTCGATGGGCTTTTAAACGTAGGTATGTGAAGTCATATATAGGTTTCACTAAAACTTGGAATTTAAGTAATGATTATTGATATTTTAATTTAGGATTTTCAATTATTAGATATCTAAATTCATGATATTGAAATTTTTAGACTATTGAGTGTTCCAGAATCCCTGATCTGCATCAATCTGGCAGCAAAGCAGACAAGATCTGTGGTCTTGGATCTGAGAACTTTTTCAACCAAACATTAAAAATTCTATTTTACCTGACTTTGTCTCCTCTAAAACAAATTCAAAATCAATTGGAAATTCTCAAAAATTCAAAAACACTCGCTAAGCTCTCTGAAATTCACAAATTAATTCAAAAAGTTCTCTCACAACTCAAATTAGAACACTCAGGAATTTCCATGAAAATTCCTGTGTTCTAATTTATTGATATCTAATTTGAGTTGTGAGAGAACTTTTAACGAGTCCTTCAATTCTTATAAAAAAAAAATAATTTAGAACACTCGGGAAAATAAGCATAAATTCTCAACCAAAATTCAGATATCAAATAACTACATATTGAAAGAGCTAAAATACCAGTCTCCAATATTTCCATCCCCTTGGAAGGCCGGTAGCACCAACCCAAAGGGTTCAATGATTTCAATCAACAGGAGCTAATATTTACCTTGTACATCTCATGGAGGAATTGCCGAGTGTAGTGCCTAATCAGGATCTCCTGAATAGATTCCCAACTCGCCATTTGATGCATGATTGACAACTCCTTGAGATGAATTCGTGCTCCCTCTACATCAGCAAGAGCCATCAGACCTCTCTGCAATGATTCATTTTACCAACAAAATTAGAAATTTGGAGTAGGAGAGAGATTCCAAGGGGATTTCAAAAGTAAAACTAAAACAATGGAATTTCTATGAAGCAAAGAAAAGTAGGAAGTCAAAAGACGTTAATTACACTAGCGAAACACATTTCTGATTCAAGGAATGTCCTTTTAGTGGCAGACTTTGGAAGATATGCATGTTTAGAATCATGGCTAAAATCAAAAGAAAAAAAAATGGAATGAAGATTGTTATCCTCCACTCCCACCCCACTTATTTGTCTCATTTATCATCATTTTCCATTTGCAGTTTATGGATTTTGTCGAGGATGAGGTAATTAGAGAAGCCCAACATAACCCAAACCAATAAATAAACTAGCAAAACACTACTCCATTAAAATTGGAGAAAGGACAAGAGAAAGAGATCATCACACACACACATAACTCAAAATTTGTTTCTAGCATCTTTCATTAAGAAATTTATCGAGCAAAAGTAGATGCTTGCTTCTCTTGATAACTGAGTTAATTACGAGGAGCTTGCAACTGAACTCAAAAAGAGGCTTCTAGTCCAACTAAGTCCACTTATAGAAGTAATAATTAGTACTAACAATCAAATACAATCTTGGAAATAGAAGTGGTTTAGATAATAGAGCACTCACATGGATAACAGATTCTCCGGATGTAAGAACCCCACTTCTAAGCATCCAGGGAGAACTAGAAAAGCTGTCCAAATCAAACCTCATTGGTTAGTTTAGTTTATAGGTAATAAAACAAGAGCTTGAGCTGAATTAAAAGAGAGTGATTCCACTAGAGTCAAAGTATTATACCTAAGAGTAAACTTTATAGGAGCCAAATCAAATGATTCCACATAAATCTTCCTCTGTCTTCTGGCCAAACGGTGAATTGGCTGCCAAGGAGCCCCGATTGGAACTATTAAAGGCAATCCACCAGTTTCATCAATTTTACTGACCACAGGAGTATCAATACCATGTAGCTGTTCCCTTACTTTCACATGCTCAGATGTTTGACCATGCATAAAACCCACATTGAAGGTAGGGTCAGAAAATTGCAAGACTTGATTCTGAAAACCTGGAGAGACAGCTTTGTAGAAGTAAAGCAAGCTCAATATCAGTTCCTGCTCAAGCTCAAGACAAAAATCTGCCATTCTGCAAGCAAATATATATACTAAAATAAGCAGTTACATTACCACAAATCAAACAATGATTTAGATGCATTTGCTTTTAAAACGACACCTTAAGCTTATATATTCAAATGAAACCAATGAAATGTCTTTCTTCCTCCACTTTGCCACAGCTAGGTAAAACACAGGTTCAAAAGAAGAGTCGGAAGAAACCAGTAGTCCCCTTTCAGCATTAAATTTTGGGACATCATCCTTTATCTGGCCAACTGGATTACTTTTGTATTCACTATTAAAGGAAAAGATGACAGGATAAGGGGTGTTATGCAATTGATTATCTATTTGAAGTGAAGATATATGACAAGAAAGCTTTTGGTGCTCCAGGCTCTGAAAGAGATCAATTTTTATATTTTTTGCAGAGGCAAAAAGTAATTCCTGCAAAATAAAGAGAAATTTTAATAAATTTTGAAGTATCGTTTTTATATCTGAACAAAATCTACTAATTTGTATTTACTAACCTGCGGATAAGAATTAACCAAAGAAATACCAATGCAAGGAATGGTTAGTGAAAACTTCTCCTTATATTCAACAGATTTCCCTTGTTTCTCTCGATTTTGTTTTTCTTGGAACCTGGTGCTACTTTGATCTGTCATGTCCTTTAGAACATGATAAGTTGAATCAATAATTGTGAGAACCTGAAACATGAAACTCAGTTGTTAAGCTAAACAAAAGTGAAAATGTCCAGCTCAATGCACCTAACCATGATAGAAGCACCTTTGTTGCACCCTCAGCTTGTACAGATAAAAGCAACATCCTTTCTGGCTTCTGTAGACAGAGTTTGCATTAGATAAATTTTTAATGTAAATCAGGATTCAGAAGTAGAGGGAAAATAATAACCTTGAATAGCTTATTATTTATACTTAAAAAAATGTATTTCAAAATGAATATTTATAAAAGTACCACAAGAATCACGAACGGTGCATTATATACCACACTGAAGTATAACAAGTCATCTCATATTCATTCACGTTCCTAGAGAACAATAATGTGTTATAATTTCCAAGAACCCGGAACAAATAAGGTTTTCTGGAGCAAATAGCAGATTCATTCATCAAGACATAGTCACAAGGAAAATAACGGAAGACCAAAAGGACAATAGAAAACGAATGGATCTTTTTTTGCCCTTCTTTCTTTCTCCTCATTTCTTCATTTTCTCCTTCCCTTATCCTTCACCTTTCTTAAAATTTAAATATTTTAATGCAATTAGGTTAAGTAATTTTAATTATTCTTTTAAGCAATAATCAATAGATTATTTTGCTTACATATTTATAAAACGAATGTAATTATCTATTTCTTCAATGATTGAAAATTATTAGTTTTCGGTCAAGTTGGTGCTAAAAGACTAACACAGCCATACAAGTCTACAATGCTGATACAGAAAAAAATAATGGACAGAAAATATTTCCTTTCAAATAAGGGCTCAAAAGAGTACAATAATATATCATAAAATATGTTTATCTTCAAACCAAGTACCTAATGCTGCTATATTCATCAAATATAGCATGAAACTAGAAAATTGTTATATTATTAACTTAAAAATTTTATGCTACAAATTGACCCTATTAGACAAATTACTGCAGGAGGTCTCAATCCTTACAGAATACCAGATGCATTATTCTACTACTATTCTTTACGAATTCCGAGCAGATATAAAGTTTGTAGATCTATTCAGACGCTTAATGTCAAATCCTGCTTAAGGGAAAGCTAGTAACAGAAAGACATACCTCAGAAGTAGACTGTAGGTGTACAGGCATATATTCTTTCAAATCATCTAAAGCAAAAGAACCCACCATACGCTCCCCTGGTACCTATATATGTCAAACAAAAATTCATTTGAAAGGCAATACCTTACAATTCATCAATCTGAAAAGGAACTGTTACAGAATTATAGGCTAAATATTAGGGTTGATATTTTTTTTTGATAAGAAGTTAGGCCTCGTTAAAAACCCCTTTCATGATTAATGGAATAGAAAATGCTCCTTAGTCAGCGGAAGGAGGAAAAGAGTGCCTTAATAACCATAAATAATCAAAAGTTACATAATGTTTAACAACAAAACTCTCCCTTACAATAATAAACCCAAAGGCTAATAGAATCTAGAGAAACTGAGAACTAACTGATACCGGCCTTAGCTAAACTGTCAGCCTCAACATTAGCTGATCTAGGAACCCATCTAATAATACCATTTAAATCTCTTAACAAAAGACCAATATCTCTCACTAAAACTCTGTAGACAATAGGACATCGATCATAGTTCTTGACCCACTCCACTGCTAGTTTACTATCAGATTCAACAATTAAACGATCCTGAACCCTCGGAAGAAAAGAGGCAAAGAAAGATAAGCCCTTCTTAATTGCCAAAATCTCCACCAACAGCGGAGGACCTGGACCAGCAGCCTCTAGGAAAGAGCCCTTCACCGAGCCATCCTCCAATCTAAGAATGCCACCAACACCACTTTTCCTCCAATCACCACTCACTGCTGCATCCACATTCAGTTTTATAAAACCCTTTGGAGGAGGAGACCAAGACACAGTTTTGATGATCGAAGACCTTAAAGAGAAGCAATAGTCCCCAAGAGTAGGATCAGAAATGAGAGAGTCCTTCATAATAGAAACATCATTAAATTTTGCTAAAAACCAATTAGCCAATCTGCACCTTGCCATAAAGAACAGATCAGTCTGATCTACCCTTCCCCCATCAAACACAATGTCATTTCTACTTTTCCAAATGGTCTATATAACCACTCCCGGAATGAAGGACCAGATTTTAGAATCTAACACCATATCTTTCCAAGCAACCATAAAACTTTTAGCATTGTCCTGCAAAGCCGAACACACTCCCCAAAATTTCAAAAACTTGTTCCAAAGAGTCCATGCCACAACACAAGTGAAAAATAAATGAGAAGAAGATTCGGCCTCCTTTTTACAAAAGGGACAAGCAACATCAACAATAGAGGAGACTCCTCTCCTTAGAAGTTCTTGTTTAACAGGCAGTTTGTTGTGCACCACCTTCCACAAGAAGACCACCACTCTAGGAGGCACCAAACCCATCCAAATGTTATTCATCCAAAAAGGGTCTGATGTCGAAACAGGACAACAAGACTTCACACTGGATTTAACAGAATAAATTCCTTCTCCGTTCCCTCTCCAAACCAACCCATCAGACAACTCAGAAGAAAGAGTTATGTTGTGAATTATAGCCAATAAATCGATAAACTGACTCAGCTCCCAGTCACTCAAATTTCTTCTCAATTGAACATGCCAAGACCAAATAGATGATCGAAACTCTCCATACTCATTAAGTTTCCCATCCCTATTTAAAGAGAGGACAAACAGTCTCGGGAAAACATCTTTTAAAGGGAAGTCAAGCGCCCAACTATCAAACTAGAAACTGATTCTCTCACCATTCCCCACTCGAACTTTGAACTGATTTCGAAACCTGGCTCCAAACTGATCCTCATTGAAATGATTATGAACTACTGATTTCCAGATCCAAGAAGAATGAGAAGGGAGATTATCATTGAAAAACAGGGATCCAATGTCCAGATTATACTTACTGCAGATTACCTTCTTCCACACCGACTCCCTATCATTTGCAAACCTCCACGACCATTTACCTAGTAGGGCTCTATTCATAAGATTAAGATCCAAAACGCCAAGACCACCAACATTTTTAGCAGAGCATACTGTAGACCAATTAATCCAGTGAATTTTATTAACCTCTGCCCCTCCTCCCCATATAAAACTGGCCATGATGGAATTTAGTTTTGTAACTACCGAGGAAGGAATTTTGAACAAGGACATGAAATAGCTGGGTAGGGAGCACAAGACAGACTTCAATAAAACCACTCTCCCTGCCAAAGACAAAGTCTTAGCCTTCCATCCGGCTAACTTTTTATAAAATTTCTGGACGATCGGATCCCAGAAAAGAATAGAATTCCTCCTAGCACCAAGCGGCAATCCCAGATAATCCGAAGGGAAGTGCCCAACTAAACACCCAACACCATTTGCCCACTGCGTTAACTCATCCTCACTGATATTAATACCAAATAATTTGCTCTTAGTGAGATTAAGTCTAAGACCTGACATTACTTTGAAAACCCGAAGAACCCTCTTAACATTAAGAATCTGTCTTCGAAGCATTACAAAAAATTATAAGATCATCTGCGAATTGCAGATGAGATAAATTCAGAAAAGCCTCATCTTTGCCAACCACCAGACCAGAAAACAAACCCTCAGCAATTAATTTAAGAGCTCTCCAACAACATTAAACAGCAAAGGGGACAACCCTGCCTAAGACCTCTAGCCATAGCAAATTCATCCGTAGGGACACCATTAACTAAAACAGACACCGAAGCTGTAGTAACACATTTACGAATCCAGCCGCACCATTTTGAACCAAACCCCATCTTAGACATAACTTTGAAGAGAATATCCCAATTAACGGTGTCATAAGCCTTCTTGAAATCCACCTTAAACACACAGCCCTTCAAACCTTTCTTCCTCCAGAAGTCAATGCCTTCATTTGCAATAAAAGAACAATCCAGAATTTTTCTACCAGGAATGAAAGCATACTGAGAATCACTAATAATATCATTCATGCAGCCTCTCAATCTTCTCGAAAGGCACTTGGACAAAATTTTATACATCCCTCCTACTAGGCTAATAGGTCTGAAGTCATCCAACCCCCCATTAGAACCCTTTGGAATGAGAGTAATGAAAGAATGATTAATGCCGTGTTCCCAATTTTTTCCCAAGAAAAAATTGTGGAAAAAATTCAGAATATCACTTTTCAAGGTGGGCTAATTTTTTTTGAAAAAACCCAAGTTCAACCCATCTGGCCCAGGCGCTTTGTTGCTATCACACGAGTTAATGGTATCCCAAATCTCCACTTCCGTAAACTCCTTTTCTAACAAAAGAGACTGCTCCAAAGAAATTCTAGAAAAATTCAACTGAATATCCTCCACTTCCAAAGTTGAACGACAATTAAAGGCTTTGAAGAAATGCTCTTTGATAGAAATCTTAATAAGAGAAGGATCTTTGATAATAACACCATCAACTTTAATAGCGTTTAGAGAATTTAACCTCCTTCTAATGATGGCACATGTGTGAAAATATCTAGAATTACGGTCTCCATCTTTAACCCACTTCTCTCTTGAGTTTTGGAACCAGATTCGTTCCTCAATCCTGTAGAGTCTCCAAAGTTCGGTTCTGTAAGACCTCAAATCTGCTAAACAATCATTGACATTTGGAATTTGGTTTTGATGAATCAAAATTTCCAGCTGGTGAATCTTGTCTTCTAAAGCAGTGATATCATCACGAGGGAACTGATTCCTATTCCCCGACCAACTCTTGATTGCGCCCTTTGTATTCCTAAGAATACTCAAAATACCAACACTTTTCTTGACCTTCTTGAACTCCTTAATGGAGTCTGTAATCACCTCCTCAAACCCATCTTCAGACATAACATAGCTAAACAGCCTAAAAGGCCTCTTGCCCCAATTATCTTCCCCCCACTCCAAAATAATTGCATTATGATCATAGATAGATTTAGGCAGTAACGATTGGGTGATGCCTAAAAAAGCTGCAGAGAAACTAACATTCACCAGAAATCTGTCAAGCCTAACAACAGTGGGAAAATCCCGATTGCTGCTCCAAGTAAAATTCCCCCCAATTAAAGGCAAATCGATTAGCCCCGATTGCTGAATAAAAAACCTGAAGATATCCATGGAATTTCTGTTCTGTAAACGACCTTCCTTCTCATCTTCTGATAAATATGCATTGAAATCCCCTCCCACACAAAGAGGAATATTGTGCCTGTTTAAAAACAGACCCAGTTCTTCAAAAAAACTAGCCTTTTCTTCTTCCATAGATGGAGCATAAACATTAATGAAACCACATCTAACTTGGTTAGAGATGAGCCTCCCGAAAACAACAATAAACCTCCTGTGGATAAACTGATCTTCTAACTCAAAAAAGTTATCATCCCAACAACTTAACAACCCTCCTGCTGGAGACACAGCTAGCCCTTGTAATCTATTCAACCTACTTATCCTAAGAAAAGAACTTGGTAAAGACTCAAATTTAGTTTCTTGTAAGAAAAGAAACGATGGTTTTTTCTCAAAAACTAATTTTTGTACAACACTCTGTTTTTCTTTTTTGCCCAACCCCCTAACGTTCCAAGACAAAATAATAAACTTTGGCATCAACATAAATGAGAAACCCAAAGCAAACCCAAGCTACACCCACGAAATCAGGAAGCCCCTCTCAAACCTTTCTCCAGATTAATAATTTTTTCCAAAAATGTCTTCTTCCCCTCTTTTGAATGAAATCCCTAGAATTTTACTAACTTCCCATGTAGTCAAAGCCTCCTCCAAGAATATCGAGAAATTAGAAGAAGACACAGTAGGAATACCAGCCACATCCAAAGCTTCCCTAGTCAAGAGCCTTCTCCTTCTTCTATACTCCTTCCTTGCCACTGGATAACACCTACTCCCTGTACCAACCTCTTCTACACTCCGAGCCTGCTGTAAGTTATTAACTACTAACTTGTACCTGGTACCACCTTCCACCTCAACCTCTGTGGGTCTTCCCTCCAAAATAGTGGGGAAAGATTGGTTACTTGAGATAGGCTTACTGATATTCCTGTTAAGATCCATCAACTCCAAAGATTGCACTGCCCCCTCCTCTCGGCTCGGGTTAAACCACACCTTTCTTTCTCTAGATCTTCTATATACTCTAGATATAGCACCACAACTCCACCTTCCAATCGATGCATTTCTAATGTGCATACTCCTAGATAAATGATCT